ATGGGTCCCATGGTTTCCCTTATTTGCCTTAACCGGTATATGTGTGAGACAAGCAGAAATGGTCAGATAAGTTGATGCTAGGCGAAATGAACCCCAAGATAAGGACTCAAATGTTTTTTCTTTCTTGCTATTGTTTCTAACATATTTATAAGATGATTTCTTTATTGCTTTGTATGTCCCTCCCCCACGGTATAACCCCCTGTTTTCACTGTATTTGATGTTGCTATAATTTGTGGAGGGGAAGGGAAAAAACAAAATGTTTAAATAGGGATACAGGTTGACCCATTGCAACAATGAGATGTACAAGACACCATGTTGAAAAACAAACTTTACAATTTAGGCGGGGGAGGGGAGTGGTGAGGAGGTGGGGGAGTATAGTTGTGCAGGTGGGAGGGAAGGGATGGTAGGGGAAAAGCAAAGGAGGAGGCAGCAATGCTTGATACCTTGCTCATGTAACGGTAACCCCTCTGTACAGTATTTTCACAGTAAAAAAACTTATTAAAAAACCAGTCAGGGCAAAAAGTTAGCAAGACCAATTTTTTAAAAAGCTGGATGTATAACCCAAGCTATGCAGGATATATAAGAGTGAGGCTTTGGGGCTGGGAATGTGGCTTGGTGGTAGAGTGCTTGCCTAACATGCATGAAGCCCTGGGTTCAATTCCTCAGTACCATGTAAGCAGAAAAAGCCAGGAGGTGCTGTGCCTCAAGTGGTAGAGTGCTAGACTTGAACACAGAGAGGCTTAGGGACAGTGCCCAGGCCCTGAGTTCAAGTCCTAGGACTGGCAATAAAAAAAGAGGCATTAGAGGTAAATAATGAGAGGCCCTATCTGGAAAACAAAACAAAACAAAACAAAAGTGAAAAAGTGCCTACCTAAAAAGCATGAAACTCTTGACTTCAAGTCCCATTACTGCCAGAAAAAAGAAAAAAATTTCCTTGCCGAAGACAATAGTTAAGCCAATTGAGTCATATTAGTATGAAATTAATAGAAAATATCCAGAATACGCTGATAATTTTGTCTCGGGTATCAGTTACATTACAGAGATTTTGTTTTATGACAGTGCACAGCAAATGCACTCTGCCCTCATTCTGGATTTAAGAATAGACTAGACACTGAACTTGATGGCTTCAAAGCTCACAGTAGACGCAAGTGGTGAGAAGTGTAAAGCTGAGCACACTCCAGCATCTGTAATGGCATGGGCTTAAAGCAGCAGGCAGGGCTGGGTGATAAACTTTACAGTGGCAAAAGGATAAGACCCTCAACCAGAGGAGTCCATGGCCTAAGACAGACAAAGCCCAGAATGGTGTAGGAGAAGAGCTGCTGCTTGAGAGATGGGTTCTTGGCATAGCCAAAGACTAAGCTGCCAAATGCTTTTCCATTGCCAGCCTCTGATTCAGCCACATCCACTGTGGTGGCCTAGCACTAATAAACTTGACTGTTTTGTCAATGTCCCAGGAGGCAACACTGGCACAGGAGTCCTGTCTGGCCAGCTGGGGAATGGCTACAGGAAGGCTGTTCAGATGGGGCGTCTGGTCTACTCAGGAGAGAGGCAAGCCCAGGCCTGATTAGACCTCTGGTACAATAGCAGATCAGAACCAGAAGCAGTCTCCATAAAAGATGATTACCTCTCACGATGATTACACATACTTGCAAATTCCCTGATGGGCAAATGCCTGGCCCCTCCAAGGTGGGGTACCAGCATTATTCCTGGAAGTCATTTTTATGTAACACTAATTTTTACATAGAACATCTTTCTTTAAAAAACATCCATTAGTCTTCATGTCACTCTCCAGAGCAAACCCAGAGGTTTCTAAGCAGCTGTCTATGACTGCCTTATTTCTCACAAGGTAGTTTTCCAAATCTACCTGTCAGACCATGCTTTGCAGACCCCAGCATCCTCACCTGCCTTTTGTTAGCATGCTGGGCTGTAGATGTTCCCCTTGAAAGAGGACCCCCAAAGTAAACACTCCCCAAAGCAACTGAATGCTGTAAGATATTACCACCCCACTGGAATGCTGTATTTTCATTAATAGTTACAGATCACGTTAACTTCCCTGAAGAACAAATTTAATCACTTTTGTCAACTGAAATCCTTAGCTCTTCCTGCACACTTCCTCTAAGCTATGCCATCCCAACAGCATTTGTCTTGTCTGGTCTTCACAACCTATGAGCAGGATTTTATATGAATACCCTATCTATTTCATTTTGTTGGCCTCTCTTGCTACTATTCTAGCCTCTTAGATCATTTTGGATGATTCCATTATCCCAAGTATTAGATGATCAGATCATCCATATTCGCATGCTGATCAGTGGTTGAACAAGTCTTGCCATCTGCCAGCTTCACCTGCCTCTCATCATTAACTGTTTGGTTTTTTATGGTAGTACTGGAGTTTAAACTCAGGGCCTCTACAATTGCCAGACAGGTGCTCTACTCTTTAGCCATGTCTCTGGTCCTGTTACTTTTGAGATAGGGTCTTCCTGCTGGTATATGTATGTGGACTGAAATCCTCCCCTTTTCCCTTCCTGTTATAGCTGGGATGACAGATAAATACCACCATGGTCACTTTCTTTCCACTGACATGGAATCCCAGAGATATTTTTGCCCAGGCTGGCCTAGAATCAAGATTCTCCCAATCTCAGCCTCCCATGTAGCTGGAATTATACTTGTGTGCAACTACACCCAGGTCTTAGTTGAGAAGGGGTTTTAATCCTTTTTCTGCTTGGACTGGTCTCAAATCACAATCTTCCCTATCATGAGCCACTGGCACCTGGCTTGTCTATTCAACCAATTTGGAAGACATACCTAAGAGTGATCTTCCCATTTCCCCCTCCCCTCCCAACCAATGTCTCATGCCTCTATCTAATCTCTTCCCTTCCAATGAATAAAGATGAATGTTAGAGCTGGTAGGAAGTCACCTCCCTGATTAGGCTTTGTTAGTCAAGGATCCATCTTTGAGAGAAGTTTTCTTGCTAGCTTTGAAGGAGCTGTGATATGTTATTGGGAACAGGTTCCAAATGACAGCCAGAAAAAGACCAGAAGCCTCCCTCAAGAAGATGAAATTTGCCCAGAATCCAAGAGACCATAGAAATGGAACTCCTTCCAGTCCCATGTCTGATGAAAACACAGTCCCTCAATGACAGGTCCCTGAAGCCATGCTCAGAATCCTGACCCACAGAAACTGAAACAATGAGGGTTGTTTCCAGCTGTGTAATTTTTTATGTAGTACAATTGGCAAGTTCACCTAATTCTGCTTTAAGCCACCTCTTTACCTCATTCTTATGGTACCATTGCTAAATGCCTCGATGCAAGCCAAATACACTGTTTTTCATTCTCTTAGTTCAACCACTCTTAAGAGCTCTGCTAATGTGAGGAGTTAAGAGTAAGATTACTACCTTTCAGACAAACTTCATTCTGATGACTGCAACCTTACTGAAAGTTCACAACTGATCTTTTTATAGTTTCTTCTCAAGACTTTATTGCAGTTGAAAACAAATTCCCCATGTTCAATTTAGTGTATAGAGTTCTCTCCCCTTAATGTGTTAACCTATGCCTCTTTTTTTTTTTTTTTCCTGAACCCGTGTCTGAACTCAAGGCCTTATTATTGCTTACTTGCTTGCTAGGCTGGCGCTTTACTACTTGAGTCATACCTCAAGCCCATTGTTTTGCTAGTTAATTGAGTCTCTAGGACTTTACTGCCTTTGAACCACTATCTTCTAGATCTATCTTCCAAGTAGCTGGGCAATGAGTTAACAGCACCTGGCTTACATTTGTTCTTTTGCATTTGTTTAGTTCCTAGTCCTAGTGCTCTAAAATTCTGATTTTAAACTACATAAGTACAAGGACCAACTTGTCTTTGTAAACCCCAAATAGCTGAGCCTAGCATCCTCCATACAGGATCTTAAAACCTGTGAAAGCAATTTGACTGGAAGCTACTATTGCAATATAGTTGCTACAAATCCTCAAAAGTAGATTTCATCTGAGTCAAGGCCTTCCAATGTATGGGAATGATCTAGATGGCAGATTTGATATGGGAGTGGATCATTTCAATCCTGCCACTACTGTGAGGACTAACTATCCATCTGCTCATGACATATGGAACTAAAAATCCCTTAATAGAAACTTTGTAACATAAAAATCATTAGTCTTGCTGGACCCAGGCTTATGTCTATAATCCTAGCTACTCAGAAGGCTAAAATTTGAGAATCACTGTTCAAAGCCAACCCAGGCAGTAAAGTCCTTGAGACTCTTATCTGTAATTACTCAGCAAAAACCTGGAAGTGGAAGTGTACTTCAAATGGGAGAGCAACCCAGCCTTCAAAAAGCTAAGGGACAGCACCAAGGCCCTGAGTTCAAACCCCAATACTGGCACAAAAATTAGAAGAAGAAGAAAAAAGAATTAATCTTGCTTTCTGAGCAACTCAGTGTATTCTGATATTAAAATATCTCAAGTACTGAGAAAGTCCAAATTAACCAATCTTTCATTCAATGCCTAAATAATGGAGTATATTTATTCTTGATTTCAAGAGGTGGAGCTTTATTCCCTTTCCCTTGAGTGTGAACTGAATTTAGTGACTTATTTCTAAATAGTGGAATATGATGGAAGTAATAGTAAAGACTTCTGACACAAGGACAAAAACGGTTACCATGGCTTCCATTTTGGTCTTTCCCCTGGGAGAGCAGGAGTGCTCTGAAAGCGGATGACAATCAAGCAAATTCATATAATGAGCAACTGAGGCCTCTTAGAGCCAGCTGAGTAAGCTGTGTAGGAAGCAACCTCCAGCCCCATCAAGCCTTCAGATTAATGGTAGCCTTGACTCACACCTATACTACAACCTTATGAATGATAGCAAGTCAGAACCAACCTATGAAGCTGTTTATGAATTCCTGATCCACCCAAACTGTTACAGCAGTACTTGTTGTTTTAAATTGCCAGGTTTGGGGTGATTTGTTAGGCAGCAAGAGATAACTAGTACAAACACAAATGCAGAATTCACCCTTACCTTGGAGTATTGTAAAATTCTTGATGAGCTGACCATGCTTGGAGTCCACCAGTTTCATTTCTTCCATAATCACTGATAAGTTGGCCACTTCAGTGTCTAACCTTGACCTCATCATGTCCTGTTGCATCCTAAGAGAAACAGAATCCAATCGGATGTTGGCCAGTGTATTATTCAAAAAGGTCAGGTCGTCTGTGTGTTTGGTTAGGGTATCTGTGCATGTGGTCCTGACTTCATTCAGATTGCTGGTCAGCGTCCTCAGGTGGTGGGCTGTGTAGCTGATGTTGCTGATGATGTTGACTATGTCTGTCTCAAAAAGCTGGAAGCGCTCCTCCAGTTGGCTGAACTTGATGGCTGTTCTATTCTCCGCATCCTTGTGTGAGTCCTGAAGGTCTTTCAGGTTCTGCTCATTGGCCTGTGAGATGGTGGTGATGTTGTCCATCTGACCGGTAAATGAGCTGAGCTGACTGTTCATATCCTCCAGGGTATCATTGTTGGCTTTGGCCAAGGCTGAGTTGTTGGCAGCCAGCGTCTGTAAGCTTTGTACTTTCTCCTTCAGCCAATCGGTGTCTTTTTTGGCTTGAAGGAAAACCTGCTGCAGATTCTGAAAGTCATTCTTGATTCGCTGGATAGCCTGGCTCGTGTCATCCACAGACCTCTGCAAATTGGTGATGAGGTTCCTCTGCTGCAGCTGGGTCAAGTTCAGGTTGTTGAGGTTCATGATGACTACGTTGTGAGAGTACATTTGGTTCTGCAGATTGCCCTGGAGCATGCTGGTGTCTTGCTGCAGATTTGTCACATAGCCATTATACGCCTGGAGGGTTTTGTTGACGGTGGTAATGAGGAAAGAATTATTCTCCAAAGATTCTTTCAGTTGACTCTGCCTATCTACGAGCACCTCCCCACTTGCCTGTAACTTCTCCAATGTGTCCTTGTTCTTGGTAGTTTTTTCTGTAATCTCACGGAGTTGTTGACGAAGATCCAGAATGTCCGATCGGAAGGTAGAAAGTTCTGAGTTGGTGCTTAGAGCTTTCTTTCCAGTTTGGTCCCCTGGAATAAGAGATGTTAGTCATTTAGACTGGTGTGGAATGGCGAGGAGTTCGGGCAAGGTCAGAGATCTCAGATACTTAATGGAGAGGCCCTGTGTGTCAGACTGTGGGATATGCAGACTGCTCGGCATTAGAATTCATATGTCTAACAAAAACTTCATCCTGGGAATCAGAAAGGGTGCTTGCCCCTAGGATTGGCATAACTGGATGAACACAGGGGAAATTATGGTATTCTAGGGTACCAGGCAGGGTGTTCTGAGAAGGAAACAATCTTATACATTCACCAAAATCCTTTCTAAAAAGTGAAATTAAAGCCAGGTGCTGGTGGCTTATGCCAGTAATCTTAGCTACTCAGGAGGCTCAGGTCTGAGGATCATGGTTTGAACCCAGCCTGGATAGATACATCTTGAGACTCTTATTTCCAAATACAGCAAAAAGCTGAAAGTAGAAGTGTGGTCCAAGCAGTAGAGGGTTGAACAAGAGCTCAAGTTCTCAACTTCAAGTCACAGTACCAGAAAAAAAAAAAGAAGTGAAAGCCTATATCAAAGAAAACAATAGACTGAAATATTTTATAAATTTTTACAATCTCTTTTGAAATGTAAGATATTTAAAATATTCCAAATACTAAGCCTTTAATAGGGGCTATTTGTGGTTCTTTTTTGTCAGGATTAGTCTTCAGATTTTATTTGGAATGTACAATTTGGGGGGGGGGGGGAAGAATCAACGCCAAAATTAGTCCTTAACTGCAAAAATAAGTCTTTGAATTAAATCAGGAAGATAGGCTCAAAAAACATGCACAAAACTGAATGCCTTGTTTGGAGAATAGGCGTTTATAGTGTTGTCTTTCTAAAAAGTTGTCATTATATAAATTCAAGTACAATGAAAGAACGCTCTCAAGGATTCGCTCTTGTCACAGCTTACCGAGTTTTTTCAGGTCACTTTCCACGGCTGTGAGCTTGTCATCATACGTTTGGCGAGATGTCTCCATGCCACCTGTGACATTGTCCATTTTCTCTACAACTAAGATTTGGAAAACAATAGATGAGTCCACACTGCCTATATATAACATTTGTTTCAAGACCAGAGGTCTTTTGGCATCAAGGAAACAGATTGAAACAAAAAAACATAATTGAAATCAAATGTAGGGAGAGCAGGCTAGGGGTGTTAGTGGTGTAACACTGGCCTAGCACATGCAAGGCAAAATAAAATTATAGCCAAGTGTGGTCATGCATACCTGCAATCCTAGGACTCAGGAAGGAGGGAATAAAAATTTAAAAATTAACCCCAAATTTCTGAAACTTACAAGGCATTACCAGAACCTAAGAACACTTTCAACAAGTAAAGTATATGTTTAGATTATAGACAAATGATTTCTTTTCCTAAAGAACAGCTTTTCTTTTCCCTCCCTCCTTCGGTTTTGGTCCTAGGACTTGAATTCAGGATCTGGATGTTGTCCCTGAACTTTTGTGCTCAAGGCTAACCCTCTACCACATTTGGCTTTTTTTTGGGGGGGGGTGATTAATTGGAGATAAGAATCTCATGGACTTATTTGCCTGGACTGGCTTCAAACTAAGATCCTCAGATCTCAGCTCCCTGAGTAGCTAGGATTACAGGTATGAGCCATCATCACGTGGCAAAAAAGAACAACTGTTTTTAGCATGAGTCTATTTGGGATAATAATTATGAGCTAATCCATCCAGTTTATATTGTTCATCAGGTGTTCTATTTACAAATGAGTAGATGGGAAGAGTCTCTTTGGGTCCTCTTCTTAGGTAGAAGAAAGTTCCTATTACTGTGTGAGCCAGGGAATCAGTCAGATGTGTCCTGAAGCAGACTATGTTTTCTCTCAAGCACCTAGCATCTGGCCATAATAAAATGCATGCACTGCCCCATATGCTTTTTCCCATTGAAGCCTTTCCATGTATTTTCTCTATGTTCAATGTTCTTCTTTGGGTCAAGTTCTACTACCGAAGTTTTGAAGGACTGAGCATGTCACTGCCTGTGGGAACATTCAACTAAGCTGCACCTTTACATCATCTCTAGGTATTTGTAAACCCTTTCTAAAGGCCAGATGATGGGGCTCACAGTGTTGAGCCGGGCCTTGTTTATTATGACATCCTTCATTGCAAAGAAGTTCGTACAGAAGCTCCTCAACTTACAGGGAGAATATGTCTAATAAATCCTTAGCTATTTGAAATCATCACAAGAAAATATGGCACATGCATTGAATACTGCTAACCTATGAAGCATCCCCGCTTAGCAATACCACCACTGTGGTGTGTCTGTTATTTCCATCAGCCAGTGGCTGATGGGGCTTTGGGTCGATACTGCTGCCTACCCTCAGACCAGGATCATACCACATATCATGTACTATATAACCAAGGAAAAAAAGAGTGAAAAATTCACAATGCCAAGTATGGTTTCTGAGAGGTGATGAAAGAGGCTGGCTAGGTAGTGAGGGCCAACTCCCCCTCCCAGGAAGGTCCGAAGTTTCTCATCATGGCCTTGAGCAGATGCAGCCCTGAGTTACCACCTGCTGGTCCTGGCCCATTGCCCCAGGAAGGCTTGCATGGAACAATAGACTGGCCCCCAGAGGTGTGTGCCAGTCAGATTTGTTTAGGAGCAAGTACAGGCTGTAAGGAGCCTCTGATTGGATCTCAGACTGTTATAGTTTATGATTATCAAATTATCCTAAAAGTCATGTAGCTATCTCTAAAGATACTTTATTAACTCCTACACAGCCCACCCCAGGTGGTGACCCTCCCTTGGTACCCCAGTCTAGCAGAATTTTTGCTATTTTTTCTCTCCCTCTGTATCTGTAGATTCACTCTTCGTCACTATTGAGACAAGGGATCAATCCAAATGTTGCAGTTTTTCAGTCTCATTTCTGCTGGGCTTGTGTTGCTTTGTACTATTGGGAAGTTGAAGCCTGCCTATATTCATTTTTACCCGCAAACTTTGTTTTTGCCAGTCCTGGGGCTTGAACTCAGGGCCTGCGCACTGTTCTGAGATTCTTTTTGCTCAAGGCTAGCACTCTATCACTTGGGCCACCATACTACCTCCAGCTTTTTCTGTTAATGTGGTGCTAAGGAATTGAACTCAGGGCTTCATGCATACTAGGCAAGCACTCTACCACTAAGCCACATTCTCAGCTCCATCCAAGAGCTCTTAGCTCAGTGTGTGCTACTAAGTAGATGTTTTACAAATGCTTCATTTATTATGCCTGGTATTTAAGTAAGTGTAACTCTGTCTTGGGTGGAAGCAAATACACAAAGAGACCAAGCAAGAAGCCTCTGCACAGTTTTGAAAAATGGACAGGACACAGGGGTCTGTTCAAATCATCTTTCCTCAGTTGTGAGATAGGAAAGCATTCTCCAAAATCCCTAGAAACATCACAGAATACAATATATTCTATGCACTTTAGACAAGCCAATTTTTTTTAAAAAATAGGGGATGTTTACAAGTTTAGGCTCAGCTCTGATTCTCAAATCAAAACATATGCCTCTGTCTTTAAACCACACACAGATCATAAGTCCTGCCTCTTTTCTGGAAGCCCACAAAAACCTCTAACTATGCTGGTAGTCAGTCATTTCCTACACTCTTTCAATTCTCTTCCCTTTTAGTTTAGAAAAACACAGAACTGTCACGGACAGATAATTCAGGTTTCCTTAGCATAAAAAGAATACTTAAAAAAATACTAAAGAAATGGTTAACTGTCTTCAGTACTGCAGGGAAACTATTTTCACCCAGCCCGTCAGTGCTGGTAAAGTGGCTCCTTGCACCAGGGTGTGTGTCTGTGTTTAAAAATAGGACTTCAGCATAAAGCTGTAAACTTTCGGCTGCAATGCTGGCAGCTGGCTAGTGCATAAAACACAAGGTGAAGAGGCTCAGAGTAAACCCTTGCGTGTGAGCACAGCACTGCCTAGATTTTTACTCTTAATTCTCAACTCAGAAAGCAGCAGCAGAGCTATCTGTCTACCCTACAAACTCTCAGCTCCAGACAGGCCTCAGTGAGAGAGAGAGAGAGAGAGAGAGAGAGAGAGAGAGAGAGAGAGAGAGAGAGAGAGAGAGAGAGAGAGAGAGAGAGTACTGGTTGGTACTGGAGCTTGAACTCAGGACCTGCGTACTGTCTCTGAGCTTTTCCACTCAAGGTTGGTGTTCTACTACTTGAGCTACACACCTCCACTTCTGGCTTTTTGGTGGTTAATTGAAGATTAAGAGTCTCATGGGCTTTCCTGTCTGGGCTGGCTTTGAACCATGATCCTCAGACCTCAGCTTCCTGAGTAGATAGGATTACAGGAGTGAGCTGCTGGTGCCCACCTTAACAATCTGGTTCTTTCTAGGGCTCCTTTATTGGAGACTATCCTGATGTCGTTTTCTTCCAAACATCAGGTTTTGAGAGCTGTGCCAAAGTAGCAAAGGTTACCTCCACGGTAATGTGCCAATAAGACCCCTTCTAGAAGAGCACTTTAGCTTGGGCCACAAACCTCCTCACTTGTCTTATTTCTACACATTTTTTTAATTGTAAAGATGACGTACAGTAAGGTAATGAGTACATTTCTTTTCAAACAGTATTATCCCTTCCTTTGTTTTCTCCCACTCCCTTACTCTCCTCCCCCTCCCCCAGATGTAAAGTCCATTTCCAACATAGTGTCTAATGAGTATGGCTGTTGCATTAGTTAACTCTTTGTCCCACCATTTCTGGTTCCACTTCCCTTCTCCAAATCAGATTAACTTATATACAAGACAAAGGGCTCTGAAATCAAATGGAGTGTCCACAGGGAAATGAAAGAAAAAAAAAGACATAACTGCAAACAGTACACTAAAAAACAAAGACAAAAGCAAACAAACCAAAAACCCCTTCTTGTTTCCATATCTTGGAGTTCATTTTGATTAGCATTATGTTCTATGGTCATATCTACACATATTTTTGTTGTTATTGCCAGGCCTGGAGCTTGAACTCAGGGTCTGGATGCTGTCCCCGAACTTTCTTTTTGCTCAAGCCTAGCCCTCTACCACTTTGAGCCACAGCTCTACTTCTGGCTTTTTGTGTTAATTGGAGATAAGAGTCTCACAGACTTTTCTGCCTGGGCTGGCTTCATCCTGGGATACTCAGATCTCTGCCTCAGAAGATTACAGGTGTGATTACAGGTGTGAGCCACTGGTGCCTGACATTTCTACCCATTTTTAAAGGTCTAGTCTCGCCACTCCATCATTTTAAGCTTGGCTAGTGACTTGATTCCTGAGCATACCTACTGAACCTTTACGTGAATGACAAGTAACAGTTCTATTGTCTCTATAATTCTTTGTACGGTGCAATGAACCCTCACTGCAGTTTATTCCTATCACTCCTACTTGAGAGGAAGAAAAAGAAAGAAGCCCAGAGATGTTTGGTACTTTTCCAGAGTCACCCAGCTTTTAAGTGACTCAGAGGGTACCAGGCTGGGAGATCTAACTCCAAAATTCTCATCCCCTCTGGAACTCTACATTGCTTTCGATTTAGTATTTCTCTTCCCTAAATGCAGTTTCCACCAATAGGGAAGGACTGTCTTCTATATATTTCTTGCATCTCATAATTAGCACTGGGTGTTTATTAAGCCTCTAGCATAGAGCTAGACATCAAAGATCCAAGAGATGGAGGCCATAGCCCTGGCCCTTGAGAAGGGAACAGGGAGCCAGCCCAGAGCTTCCACTCAGTGCTCACACTGTTACTTCCTGGATCTCTCCAGGAATGACACTGCATCCCCTTGGAATTCAAGGAAAGCATTTCTGCCTAGCAGATCATTTACATTGCAATAGAGAAGAACTAAATCTACAGGCTGTTTCCCAGGGTTCTAGAGGGTTTGACAGTGTGACTTGATGTACATCTGGAAAGCCACTAATCCCATTGTCATGGTCATTTTGGCAGAGCCCAGTGGCAAGATAGATGTCATACTGCTAGGAATGGTGACTTCCTGGAGATGTTTTTTTTTTCTTATTTTGTGGTACTCAATTTTGAACTCAAGGCTTCAAATTTGTTA